TAATTATCTATTTTTTATAATTTTAACTTCCATTTAATTTATATAAGCTAACTACCATTCAAAAATATTATCTATCTTTCTTAATGAAATAATGATGTGTGAATTTTTCAAAAATAACATATTTTTGCTTAAAATTAAATTTTATATATTAAAATGTAATTAAATAAATTTTATTTAAATTAAATGTAATAATTCTTCTTGGTAGACGTGTTTCATTTGGATTTTAATTATTTTTTAAATCTAAATTATTTTGTTGTTAAAAGATACTTAAATACATTAAAAAAAATTGTATTTATAAAAAAATCTATATTTATAAATTATCATTGATTTGAACTATGTTGAAACTGATAATTTAAACTATATATTAAAATATAATTACAGGATTCAATTTTATTTTCTTCCAAATCCGATTTAAATAAGCCCGAAAGCATTTCTACTACTAATTTTAATTTAGTATTTTCTTTATAAAAAAAAACAAAAATACATGTTTACCATTCATCTTCTTATACCAGAGGTCTAATTCTTATATTTTATATAATTAAAATTTACCTCAACTTTATCGGTTTTCATAATCTATAAGAAATGTAACAAAAGGATATGGTCCATATATAATTTACACAAGATAAAGAGTACGTTAAGTAAATGTGTAATAATATATATATATATATATATATATATATATATATATATATATATATATATATATATATATTTTGACGTGGAAAATAATAAATACATCTTTTCTTCCCAACTTGCAACATTATTTTTAGGAATATGACTTTTTTTTATTCATTTTACAATCCTGTTAGTTTTCATTTTACTTAATTCATTAAAGTTTCACATGTATTTAAAAAATATTCTTTATTCTTATATATGATAGGAAATTTTAGGATTTTTTTATGGAATATTTTTTATTTTAATATCTATTTATTTAAATTTGATATATTTTTTTTAAATATTTTCGTTCAATTTCATCATATTCGTTAAAGCAAGTAGTTTTTCAACTCCACGATAGAATTAAACTTTTGATATCAATTTTTTTAAGAAATATACTTCATATTTTTTATTATTTTTTTATATTTTCGGTCAACTTATTTTTCATCAAATATAAAACAAAACATTTTTTTTATGTAAATTTTGAATATTTACAAATTATTTACATATTTATTCACGTAAAGTTTGTATTCAAAATATATATTATAATTTTTCTCTAACATGTTTTTAATAATATTAGAAGTATATAAAACATAAAAAAATAATTTCACATTGAATAACTTTTAACTGCAATTGTTTTCATACATTTCACTTATATTGCTTCTCCATTATCAATATGATTTGTATAATCGATATTTATAAGTCAACTTGTGAATTTATTTATTATAAAACATGTTATTGCAAACAAAAGTTTTCTTTCTACTTTGTCCTCTATAATCTTGATAACTTCTTAAGATGATTTGCATATTTTTTATACATGTCATAATCGACCACGTTTACGACATTTCAATTTAGCATCCACCAACACTTATCGTGTGAGTGATTATTTTTCTTACAATAATGACAAATAGAAAAGACACATCATTTGTTACTTTTGTTGTTTTTACCTTACAAGAAACCTTGTACAATATAGTAAAATACTTTTAACAACATGATCTTCGTTATTTTTGCGTTTGTAAAACATGCATTACTTTTGTCGAAATAATCTTAGATAAATATTTTGTATTTTCTAATAAAACAATACTTTATATCTCTTTCATACTTTTATTCGAATTTTTGGAATATAAAATTCCTTACCTAACAAATGTATTTTTTTTTTAGTAATTATAAATAATTTGTGTTTAAAATAAATGAATAGAGAGATGACACATGAGTATGTACTTTATAATTGTCACAAGACTTTCCAATATAATGTAAGACGAAAATCAAATTCATATTATGACTTTGGTTTGTCCCATTAAGAGGTTGAGACGAAAAATCAAATTGACTTATTATAACTTTAAATTTTCTTTATTTTAAAAGATTAGAGATGGGATGAAGCTTGTATGGGATGGGTAATATATCTCCTGTTTTGATTATTTTTCTTCTTTATTCTGATTTTATATTTAAATTTAAATTCTAAATATTAATACTCTTTTAAAGGTCTCTCTTTCTTTTTCACACTACAAGAAATTTTGATATTACCAACGGTCAAAATCCGTCGGTAATATCCATTTACCGATGGATTTTCGACGGCCAAAAATTCGTCGAAATTTGGTTGTCGGTAAATATTACCGACTGATTCCTCTCCGTCGGTAGAATACCCCTTCCCTTTATATTTTTATTATTTATTATTAATTATTTTTCCCTATTACATTTTTATAGGCTTCAATTATTATCAGATTAAGAGAATTGTTATTGGCAGGATTCGACCTAAGTACCTTAGAGTTAGAGGCGATACTCCAACCACAAAGTTACCAGAATTTTTCGATAATAATTTACAAATAAATTATATTTATATACAAATATATTTATATATTTATATATATTTATATATTTATATATTTATATATTTATATATTTATATATTTATATATTTATATATTTATATATTTATATATTTATATATTTATATATTTATATATTTATATATTTATATATTTATATATTTATATATTTATATATTTATATATTTATATATATATATTTATATATTTATATACAATTAAATATTTTTATATGTTTTTATATATTTTTATATATTTATATATAATTAAATATTTATTTTTTTAAATTATTTAATTTAAGAAATTATTATAAATTAATCTAATTATGATTAAATGAAATTATTAAATAAAAAATATTTAATTTTTTAATTAGTTGAATATTTACTAATTGATAATTTACCGACTAATTTACGGATAAATTTACCGAACGGATATATCCGTCGGTAATTAATTATTAATTTATTGAAGGATTTACCAACGGATATATCCGTCGGTAAGATCAAATTCCACAAATATTTTATATCCGTCGATAATTTCCATCGGTAAATATCCGATCGGTAATACACAATTTTCTTGTAGTGTCATATTATATACAACATAAACTCTAGTTTATACTTTTCACTTTTCTTTTATTTGTCATTTTCAACTTTTTTTTAACCAATTCAATATAATATTTTCTTTTATTTCACATTTTATTTTTTTAACATTTTCTTAATTTTACAACTAATTTGATAAATATTTTTTTTTTCTCTCTTTTAAATCAATCTTAGAAATACTTAATAATATTTTTTAAAATTTATCTTTATTGGTTTATTACATCATATTTCCTAGTTTTTATAATTTTTATTTATCATATATTAAATTTTATGTTAATTAAATGATTGGTAGACATGTGATCAAATGTTTCAAAATAACATTATAATATATAATAATTAGTGTACATGAGTATTTCACATTTATATAAAGAAAAAAAGTAACCAACCATCACCAATAAACGATTCACTCGAGATAGTGGCCAGTGATTTATTTCAGGCTTAAATATTTATTTTATACCTTTAAAATTTATTTGAACTGAAATTTTCAGTGTTTTAAATATTCAACATTTAATAAATATATTATTTGATGATGAAAATAATTTTATTACTTTTAAATTGGAATGTTTAGAATATTAATATATATTGAATATTTATACTTATGCTAATACGTGATAGTTTCAAAATTAATATGTAAAAGAGGGGCTATTAAGATTAAATTAACATATATTTATTATAAATTAGTATAAAAGTATTAAATCTTTTAAATATATCAATTTTAATTTTAAAAGGCCGTTTTTGAAAGTATTTAAACTTCGGTCGTGGAATTTGAAAACCACAAATTATAAAATCAAATAATATTTCTTTAAATTTCCAAAACTGAAAATGGATAACCATCCAAATAGGCCTTTAAGTTTTTAAACTGGAGTTTAATTATTTTCTTTTGACTGTCTATACAAGCAGTTGATCTAAATTTTAAGCTTGTAACACTAGTAGGATATAATTAAATTTATGATTAATTTATTTTAAGAAAACATAATTTTTTGATATTAATGTTATTTATATATAACTTTGATAATTAAATCACATTTTAGTATTAAACACTAACATTTTATTTATTGTACGATTTTATTCTATAGATATCTATAAATATTACATTTTATATTAAATATATTATATACACATACAAATACCATAATAGTAACATATATTATAAATTAATTATTTAAAAAAAGTCAGGAGAATCGATAATTAAAAATAATATTTTATAAAATATATAGTTAAATTTTAATATTTCAAAGCACTTTACTTTAATTAATACTTCAGGTTGTAAATAACTGATTAATTATTATACATATTTATGAAAGTATATTTCAATTCTTAATTTAGTTATTATATAAACAATAATAATTAAACTTAAGGATTTTATCTACATCTATCTCTATGTATAATAATTTGAAAATATAATAACCCTTAACATATTTTTTTTAAAAATGATATAGATAAATCACCATACGAAGTAGTGAAATTAAACTTAAAGAAAAAGTAACATAATAATAATAATAATAATAATAATAATAATAATAATAATAATATTAAGCATAAGAATGAGAAAAGGGTGAGGTTCACATGCGACAAGAGATCCATCTTAAATACTAATCCTTATTTCATTTTTCGTCTTGGGATTGGAGGGTGATGGTTTTTCCATCGTAAATATTAATCCTTATTCCATACAATAGTGTTTCTTTCTCCAAAAAGTCGATTTTCTTGGGTGAATAAAACTCTTCTTCGAACAAAACACATTCAATCTTGTGAAAAATATAAAACAAACATGGTGAAAATTTTGCCACAAATAAGTTACGCAATCCGACTTGTAGTTTGAACTAAAAGTTAATTTTAAACAGCAAAAATTTCAAATCCGAAATCTGAAAAAAATTGTCATATTATCTAATACATTTTACATTAATTAAAAATTTGCTACCTAGATTCACGTTGTCAACAACAATTGCTTCTCCGTCCTCATAATGCCACCAGAGAGCTTCGAAGGTTTGCCATCATCAGCCGGTATGTCATTGACAAAACTATCTCATGGAAGCATCTATACGTCAACACATTAAGTGTAAACCCATGTCGCTCGATTACACACATTAGACGAGAAAATTTTCCTTAGAAACCAACCATTCAGCTACTGCTATTAGGGGAGCCAAGAGACTGGCTTAAAAATACAAAAAAAAAAAAACACCCAACAAAAAAGATAACCAATGACCATCATTCATACCTTTAACTGTAAACACAAAACGTAATAAAACGCATGTGTACGAGCTTCGATAATCATATTATTATAACATCATTCACAGTGAAAGAGATACCAAAATACGCATGTCAACCTTCCTTACGAATTCAATCATTTCATTGAAGCTGGGACACCTTTAGCCACCTCCAGATTTGAGTGTATTGCTCAACCTATATATAATAAGTTAACATTAATATTGCGCACAATAATAACCACGATTTGTAAAAGAAGGTATTATGTTATATCAGCTAGAGGCAGTGTAATATCTCAAAGAAGGTATTATGTTGACATGATGCACAACAATCAACATCTGCAGATAAGAACCATATAAGCAAATGATACAAATTCAGATTCAGATTTTGTAAAGATTAATATAGCAAAGTTCCCATCATATTTTCTAAACCTTACTACCTTCATATTTCCAGGAAAGAAAAAAAAAAAAACACATGCCAAGTTATTGATATTGTATTATTAGATAGGGCTCTCTATTAGGAAACATATGAACTAACAAACTTACATATTTCACTCGTTAAAATATATATCGATTCAGGTCAAATGAGACGTGTAACTCGACAGTCAACAGTCATATATTAGAAAATAACACTTGGATCCGCACTTTATTCAATGGAGATAAGGGATCCACACAAATTGTTCTATTTTTTTCCTTTTGGTTGTAAAAATTAAAGAGCAAAAGGAAGAGGATATAATGAGAAAAAAAAAATGAAACTAAAAACAATTATATAGCCAAGGTACCTAATGTCTATGGATATTTCAAATCGTAATTCCCTTGAAACAACCTTCAATTTAATTTGACTTACCAGTCCAGGCCCTCAAAAAGTCCTTCTCCTTTTATTGCAGAAGTTTTGAAAATAGCCCATTGGCGATTTTTGATCTTGTGCAACTCTAGAGCCTCCGTAACAGCAGCATCATCCAGTGCACCAGGAAGGTCCTGTACAGTGAAAGGAGACAGTTTAAAACAAATTGATACATCTATTTTTCAAAATTTCAGTTTTATGCACAAGGTATATGGCAATATCATGTATGTACACATGCATATAATAATTAGGTACAACTTAAATCTACCTTTTGCATGATCAAAATTTCAGTTTTATGCACAAGGTATATGACAATATCATGTATGTACACATGCATATAATAATTAGGTACAACTTAAATCTACCTTTTGCATGATCACAATTAACAAAGCAAAGACACATTCTAACACACTCTACCATTGGTAAAAAAAAAATTTGGAAATCACAAAATCATGAGTGGAGTTCTTAAATAAAAGGCGACACCCACAAAATTGAGGTTTGCAATAAATTTCAGCCAATAATAAATAAAGAATGTATTGGAAAGTTTGTCGCTGGCAATTATCCATCTACTAAGAATATCAGCTTCCTAATATTTTTACATACTCGTTATTTCCGTGATAGTTCCCTTTGGGGAATATGAGAATCCAAAAAAATATATATCAAATTCTGACCTGTTTGTTTGCAAAAATGAGAACAACTGCACCTTTTAGTTCTTCCTCCTGGAGTAAAGGTTCAGACACAATTTAGTATTAGGTATTAATTATGTAAACTTGAAATCACAATCATAGATAATATCGAGTGCTACAGGAGAATAGAGAAACAGAACAAATCAACAAGTGTACAACTTCGAATCTACATTTTAATAACTTAAAATAAAACTTAAATAATAATAAGTTAAAAAAAAACACAATTTTTTTGAAAGCACTGTGGGGAGATTGAAAGCATTATGATGAAGCCTGAATACTAGATATACATTCTGAAGAAGATGATGACTCAAGCAAGCCCAAGATGAAATATGAAGACTAGATAGAGTCTTAAAATATTGAATATGGAAGTACAAGTTAATGTAGTATTATGCATAAGCCTCCAAAGCACAAGTGTATTTCGTAATATGACATTTTTCACTGTCATAATCGATTGTGAGGGTCATAATCGATTATATCATCAAATAAACATAAAATGATATTTTTCTCTGACATAATCGATTATACTGGTAACATAATCGATGATGACAGTTTAAATTTGAAAAATATATCCGTTTTTGAAGAATAAATGTTTTTGGATACATCCAGATTTTTCTTTACGAAATTATTAATGACTAACGGTTATTTTCTGATGCTATTTTCCTATTTAAATGAGTTTTGATGAAAAATAAAAAATACACAATCATAGAATTCAAAAATGCAGTTTACAGACATTCAGTTTTAAGAAATTTATTATGAGCAAGACAATAGAACACTTTTAGGTTTTCTGAGAAAACTTTTTCATATTGCCTTCTACGCTTTCATTGTCAATCACACTATGTTCTTGGAATTATCATTCTACAGACTTCTACAATTTGTTATCTTCATTATCAAGTGTGACTGTTCTTATTTTATTGCTTTCATCCTGTGTGGTCTTAGGTGGTTGCTGTTATTTTATTGTCTTAATTCCCTTTTTAGAGTTTAGGTGGTTGTTGTTCATCCCTTGATTTGTTCAGGAGAGATGTTCATCCTTAGTGAGATTCTAAAGAGGTGTTTTCATCATTTGATTTGTTCAGAGGAAGTGTTCTCTAGTGTGATTCTAGAAAGGTATTCATCTTTTGTGGGTTGGTTGCAAATGAGGTGTTTTTCATCCCTTTGATTTGTTCGGGGAGGTGTTCATCCTTAGTGAGATTCTAAGGAGGTGTTTTCATCCTTTTGATTTGTTCAGTGAGGTGTTCATCTTTAGTGAGATTCTAAGGAGGTGTTTTCATCTCTTTGATTTGTTCGGGGAGGTGTTCATCCTCTGTGGGTTATAGAGGAGGTGTTTCATCTCAAGTGTGATTCTTGAGAGGTGTGAATTTTCTTTGTGGGAACTGTTCATCCTTTGATTTGTTCAGAGGAAATATTCATCTCTAGTGGGATTCTAGAGAGATGATTGTTTTTTTAATTAATTTATTTTTTACTGGTTCTTCTGCAAGGTTGATTGTAATTTGTAAACTGAATTTTAAAGATAGTATAGTGAATTGGGGTAACTCTTGCATTAGAGGTGACTGAGAACTAGATGTAGGGTTAACTATACCCGAACCAATATAAATTACTGTGTGTTCTTCTCTTCACTTTATGACTCTTGACTTTTGTTTTCCCTATATCTCGTGCACTTGTATTTTTCCCTATACCTTGCTCGATTATATCGCTTCCGCTTTATCTGTATTTTATCTGATAATTAAAATTGAATTAACAAATTATTGGACATCTAAAAATAAATTTTTAATTTGACATCTAATTTAATTTGTGCATCTATTCACCCCTTCTAAATGTCATTTGTCTAACATTATTAATTTAAAATAATAAGTTAAAAAAAACACATCAATTATATAATAAGTTAAATGATTCTCATGATCTTATATTTTCTTGTATGATCATTTATCCATGAAGTGCTAGTGTGTGTGTAAATGTAAATAAATACACAACAAAATTCAGGAATGACAAAATACCTCCAGAATTGCATGGAACTCCTCCTTAGCTATCACAAGCCTATCAACGTCACTTGAATCAGCAACATATATTATTGCTTGAGTATTTGGAAAGTAACACCTCCAATATGGCCTATGGACGAAACGTTAAAATACTCAAATAAAAAAAGGTTGGAGAAAAAAATCGTCATTTCATCTATGATCTATAACATATATAAAGGGAATACAACATGTTTGAGTATGTTTCTTTTACAGTTTTTCCCTTCAACTTCAAACTGTAACTGATCCCACTTTCACATTTTCTATTCAACCTTCTCCACTTCTCTCTCCTATTAATTTTCCCATTTGACGCCACCTACGTCCTCCTCTTTGTTTACATCTTCCCAGAAAAACAAAAGTCCTTATAGACAGGCACAACAATGACTATCTTTCTGCTACTATAAATATCAACTATAGTTACTCTCCTCGATGAGATCAATCATATGGATCCCATGAAACATTAGGCTTAGTCAAATACCAAATTCTAAAGAACATTATTCAAAATGATATTCTATTTTATAATTTCCTCCAATGTCCTTAAATTCTCTCAACCCCTATTTACAAAACATAAAACAATGTGAACCACTCCCCTCATCATTGGCTCCAATAACCTTCTTTACACATCTAAATCATCTTAAGCAATTTCATTTCATCTTTTGCTCAATAGGTGTCATACCAATGACTTATAGAATCCATAGTTTCAAATTCCAATCACAAAGCTGCTAGACCCAAAAATACTGTAGCAAAAAAGCCACTAATTAAAATTTTCATATTGGTGATAATATATACATATAAATTCTCAAAAATGATACAAGTGCTCAAAATTAATGACTTTCACAGCTAACAATAAAATGCCATAGATGTCTTAAACAAAACATACAAATAAATACCATAAAAAATCAAATAAAAGATTCTTATAGGAATCATCAAAATTCATCGAGTCCTTGTCTTCTTTAAAATTTTCATGGCTATTACAGTATTAGATTTCATTTTTCGATGAATTCCCCCTGTAGCAGACAGGTAGTTAGCCCACTACAACTCGCTATTGAAAAACCTGATACAATCATTCTGTATCATGTCCATCACACATCCAACTTAACATACTCTGAAAGCATAGTAGCCTCGCAGTTACAGTGTTTGTCCTTCAATGGTGTCTATTAAGTAACTCTGCCGATGGTTTCATAGTCAGTGAGTCCTAAGGCTAAGGAAAGGAAGACGTTTATGTTAGGTGCTCAACAACCAACGCAAAACTTGTACTAACCTCGAGTATTTATACTTATTAATCACGGTTAAATTTATTTTCCCATTTTATGGTTTCATCCATTTAGATTTCAGTATTGCTAGTAGTCTGTTCCATTCTCATGTTAGCACCACATACTTTTTTTTCAGCCAATCATATGACACAAGTGATACAGGAAAAAATGAGATTGTCATTGAGCATATAAGCTCCTTGAAACAGTGCATTTCCATGCTGCACATGCTCCTCACATTCATTTTAAGATAACATGGACAGAAAAAGATATGTAGATGCCAATATGATTACAACACAGTACTTAAGTGCAATGGAAGTTCAAAATCTAATGTTGGCACATATAATTGAGGCAAAGTGCCAAACTGTAGGGGTGAAGCTTCATATCACATAGGAATGACAAAAAATTACAAACTAGTGACGCTACAGCATATCAAAAGTCACCCGGTACTAGGAGCTAAAAGTAAATATTAGAAGAAGCAAATAATCTAGACTCAGTAAAAAAAAATAAGAATGAAGCCAGTGTTTACCTGATACTTGTTTGCCCACCTGTATAAACAAATGTTTCATATTAGAATTAGCATTTGAAATAAACCCTGCTATGCCATGGCATATTAAGTCTCGGGAAATTCAAATGCTTGTAAACAACAATGTAAAACATGGAACCCAAAGAGTTATCTTTAAGCAACAACACGTACAAAGTAGATTTGTACAGAAGGAAACATGAAACAGGGAAAAAGTAAGTTATTGTCTGTCTAGGCCATTTATCTTCACTTGGACAGTATCAAAATTAAAATATACCAATACATAAAAATATGTATGGGAAAAAGGAGGACAAAGTTATGCAAACTAATTTGTTTTGTATTGCAATTAACAAAGTTCAAGGCTATGCATGTCTGCTTTTATTTATCATGAGACAGAAGAATATAATGAAGTACAAAAAACAGAAAACTCACAGAGGAACAGTAGAAGGGGGGTGACAAAGACTAGAAACCAATAATTTAAAAGCAAGGGGTCAAATGAAACTTGTAATATTTATTACAAAGGCGAAACGAACATTTAAAACCTTGAAATTAATATATGTTTTTGAATTACTTGGACACCATTTTTACTTAAAACTTATCGAGTATAAAATTTCAACCTAGCTTATTGATCATGTTTGTAAATTCTAACTATACTATGGTCATCTCTATGACTCAAATGTTGGTCTTAGATTTGTTTAGTTCAACATAAGCAGGGAAAATATATTCATAACAAGTATCAAAATATACAGAAATTGCTCAATCAAGTTGACAAAGGTCGTTACCTAAATCCCAGACTTGAAATTTAATGTTGTTATACTGCACTGTTTCGACATTAAACCCAATAGCTGCATCAAATAATTTAATCAGTCAATACACAATACCATACAAGCATGGGAAACATTTACAAGCAGCAAGCACATACATATAGAGTAAAAATAACTTCAAACAATAGCATTCAAAATTTGTCTACATTTTTTACCAAGGAACGTACGGAACATCTTTTTAATAATTTAATATAATAGACACAAACAATCATACTAGAAGTATATGCAAGCGAGCTTATATAAATATAAAAAGGAACCTAAAATTTAAACAAGATCGCTCATTTGTCAGTAATTTCCAAAACCAAAATATTGTTAGCAGAGAAACGAATTAAAAATTACAAAAAAAAGGACAGAAAAGGCAGACGCGAAGATTTAGATAAATATAAAACATGATCAGGTACGAACTTGGAATGGTGGAGACAACTTCGCCCATCTGAAGCCGATCTGAAAAGGAATGTAACAAAAATCAAACGAATCGAATAGAGAAACAGCAGATTCAAATTGGACGGTGAGGAAGAGGAAGAGAGGTAAGAAGCTTACAGAGAATAGTGGTTTTGCCGGCATTGTCGAGGCCGAGAACGAGGATTCGAGCTTCCTTGTTACCGAAGAGAGAGGAAAACAATTTGGTAAACACTAATCCCATCTTCCGATTCGGTAGAGGGACACTCAAACAGTGCAATTGCAATTAGCACATCAAGCAGTTACGAAACGAAATTTTCTTTCTGGAAAAAGGAAGGAATGGGAATGAGATCTGATCGGGAGCAGAAAGGGTGAAGCTGAGGAGGAGGAGGAGAAGTGAATGTGAGTGTGAATCTAATTGGCGTCGATGGTGAAAGGAAGAAAACGAGGACGATAAATTGGAAAGGGAGAGAAAATAGAAGGATCGGTTAGTTTTGGCGAGATTTCTGTGAGGGAAGAAAGGAATGGAAAACGGAAAAAGAAGGAACGACGACGACGAAAACGAAGATAAATAGTAGATGGTTTGATTCCCTCGCCCTCCACCTTTCGGTTTTGGGATCTCGCACCCTACAGCAACCCGTTTTCAACTCTACTGTTATTTCGTGCATATAGAATTAGCCCACAACGGTAAAATTTGGGCCTAGGCCTGGCTGGGCCTTTCCGTTCCCTCTCCTATATTAATATTGGTCTGATTCCTACACCTCTCAGATATGTTCCTACAATTTTTTTAAAAATTAAATATCTAAAACTACCCTTGCGTTACTTTCATTCTTGGATGTTTTTTTTTTAATGTATTAAAATTAGAGCGTCTATTCTGAATTGAGTTTTTTTTTTCTTTTTTTATATATATTTTAAATATCTCGAAATCGTCTGCTGTTTTAGTGGGAAAAACAACATAAAAAAAAGTAGCTTTTAACAAGATTAATTATAATACAAAATAGCTTCTTAATTACAATTTAATTAACTAAAATGAAAGTTATCCTTTTCAGTAGTAATAAATTAATATTAACTACAATACAAGGTTCATTTTTTAATTGTAATCAAATTAGGAAAAAATGAATCAAGTTAATTTTGAAATTTGAAAATTGTTTAGTTACATAGGAAGCAAAGTAATCAATTAAATTATTTAATTTCCTTTTAATAGTATCATAAGTTTTCAAATGGTTAATGATAATTTCAAACTTTAAAAATTGTCAGATTATAGATGAATCCAGTTAGAGATTGAGATTGGTTCTCTTGGGTTGCTTAAAGCTATAATTAAATAACAAAATGTCTTTTTATATTGTTATACATTTTTCAAAAACTTCTTTGTCTCTATCATCGTACACTTTGATTGAATAATTCAATTAAATAGCTTATAAACTTTTATTTGACATAAACTGCTAACCAACTTATAAACTAATTTTGCTTAAAACAACAACCTTAAATTTCTCATAGTCTCAAGATTATCCATTCTATGGTTACATCTACATGCCTTTTAGATCGGAATCTGTGGCTATGGCTAATTAACTAGGCATGTTTCGATATAAATAACTAATAAATCAGTTAAACAATTATTAATAAAAAATTAAACCATTTTTATAAATTTAATTATAAAATTTATTAAAATAAACTAAAAACATTTTTCCTTTTGACAGTCTCTTCTACGAAATTTTTTGAAGTAAATTATAAAAATTCACAAGTTCAAACTAATCTTCTTAAAAAACCTTTCTAATCTCTAATTATAATCGACTTACTTCCTTCCTGTATAATCAGGGAATGAATACTAAAAATAATATATTTTAAAAAATTAATTAAATAAAATTAATGTGATTTTATTTATTTAAATAAACTTATTTATTATTTATATAGATAGATTTTTTTTCATAATTTTTTTTATCTTTTCTTTTTCTTTATTCATTTTTTTTATCTTTTCTTATTTTTCTCTCCTTTCTCCCTTGTTCTTCTAATTGAACTATTATATTAAAATTTAATAAAAATATGTTTAAACAAATATTTAAAAAATAACATTAAACTTAAAAAAAATTAATAAATTATTTAAAATTATTATGAACAATAAATAATTTATTTATTTTAATAATAAATAATTTTATTTATAATTATGTAAATAATTAGTTTAAAATATTTTATTATAATAAATAATTATTCATCTAATTAAAAATATATCAAATGTTTATAAATTAATTAATTGTAATAACTTTAAGTTCTGATAATTAATTAGATAAAATAATTTTAAAACATATTCATAAAAAATACTTTAAAATAATTATGACATAACAATTTATAACATCTTAAATTCATGTATCAAATATAATATATTAAATTATAATATTTTTAAATTATTTAAATATTTTATTTTTCAAGAATAATAATTATGTTATCAAATTTTAATCTACTATTTTTAATTAAAGAATAAGATAGAGTGAGAGAAAAATAAGAAAGAAACAAAAATATCAATTTATTTTTCTTTATTAAATTGTGTTTATAAACATTAAACATGGATAAATAAAACTAGAAAAATTTTATTTAAATAATTTTTTTAATATATTATTTATGATATTGATTATCTGGTCACCCTAATAGTTGTCATGAAAGATACCATCCATTATGGATGGTATGAATGATTTAATGAGTGTGGTTATAGAGATAAATCAGAGAATAAAGATCAAAGCCAGGGACGGCATGCGTCGCGTAAATTTATACATAACCTAATAACATGCACATATCAGATATCAGCTCCACACTTCTATTTTTTTTCTAAAAAGAAAATGAAGCAGACATAAGTAAATCTCAATTTCCTTTTATTCCTAAACTTAATATACTGAACTGTTCCTAATATAATAGACGAAAATAATAACCATACAAGTCTTGATTCTGCTTTCTACATAGCTGATTGGAAGATCATCTCGGCTAGCTCCTGTAACATACCGCAAAAGACGGATTTTAGAATCTATTTTGTCGATAAGTAAATACTGAGAGAGGACTAAAATGTTAACAAGTACAGAATAAAACAGCTTGGGCAAAAGCAATTCAATTAGTCAATCAGCATGGATTTGATATAAAAGAAATATTTCCATACTTAACTATAACAAGTAACAAATATGAAAAGAAAATTGTTCCATTTCATGAGATTTTATCATCGCGTGTGTATTCAGAGGAGGATATACATGTATGTATAAGGAAGAGTATGGTTTCATTAAAAGCTCTTTAATTAATGATGGTATTGGTAATATTGTCCTCAAAGGAAAAATATTATCTTTTTTTTTAATGGAAGAGTCGAATTCATCCAACTGAGCTAGACCTCCTAGATGGAGGATAATAATTTTAAGTGTAACATTGATGTATTTTAGGTTTGTGGGTTAGAGCTAGTTGCGGAGATGTCTTTCATGATAATTCAGTTGTTTTGATCCTGATGTTTACTATAAACTTGCGGTCATGCTTATTCTTCAAGCTGAATAATCAAATTTGAAATTTTTCATTACACATTGGGAAGTAAAAATTTACACTCGTGCAAAAAATCTTATTTTTTTACAGAAAAATTATATTTTGAGTTACCTGTTTCGCAGAAGAAACCTTCGGTTCTCCCCATTCCTTAACTTTCTTCTCCAGCATTTCGAAGTCAGCTTTGCCAGCCTATGTTAACATCCATTTCGATAACGTTAATCGCAAGGAACTAATAAAGCGAAAAGAAAAGTGTTGGAAGAATTTTACCTCTATTTGAGCCCCAATTTCCGTGTCAAAACTCTGATATCGCTTACGGACTAGCTCAGCCAGAGAACCATCCTTCCATCCAACATAATGAGAAACATTTAGTTTGATTCTCATCAGAGATTATAAGGCATTCATTTAGTTTGCACGTTTGAATTATTATGAGAGCACAAATAGATGTACAGGAAGGATCCTGTGTCACCTCAATTAGCTTGACAGCATTTCTTAGTCCACGGGCCAGGGTATCCATTCCAACAATGTGGGCTATGAACAAGTCTTCAACATCTGTGCTCTCTCTCCGCCTATATATTGTTCAGTAAAAGATCGAGGTAAAAAAAAATAACAAACAAAAAGGAATATGAACATAAGAATAGAGAAGGACTAACAATTTCGCATCAAAGTTGAATCCACCTGGTGCAAGTCCTCCCTGGAACAGGCAAAAGAAAACAAGAACCTGGTCAGATGAGATTGTATTTCTTAACATTAAGTGTGTTGCATTTCATGATGCAAGCTCACTGAAAAGAATTTTCTTACATTTCTGATCACACTGAGCATGATCAGGGTTGCCTCTTGAATATCTACCAAAAACTGATCTGTGTCCCAACCTGCAGGAATGATAACAGCTTCATATTACACCAGGCATTCGTGTGACATGTTAAAATGGCTCCTGTTTCTATGTTAAAAGTTACAATATTTACTAAATGAGAAAATGCACACGTACCAACTTGAGGATCGCCAGTGTTGGCATCAATATTACCCAGCAATCCATTGATCCTTGCAGTTTCAAGCTCATGATGACAACTACAAGGTTACAGCAGAAATTTTAAAGTACAAAGATCATGTCCAGCTTCATTTATGATTTATGAATGTCAAATTTAAAAGGGAAAGTGTGATCAAGGACAGCCCATGTAAACACAAGATACAATGATCCATTCACCTGTGGCCAGAGAGGGTAGCATGGTTGCACTCTATGTTGAGTTTGAATTCCCCTAGAGAAGTAAAAGGAATGAGACGGAGAAATTTGTAAATTGTAATAATAACATTGTTCTTAATAAAGAAAATTAGAGCAATAATTTAGGTGTATGTATATACAAATGAAGAGACTCATCCCGCTTTGTTAGTTTGGAACTGGCTATTTTAATTCAAACAAGGAACCATTTGACCATTAACTTTAGGGAGAAACAAATTTTTTTAACTTAAGAGGAAAAGCATGTCATATATAGTAGAAAAAAGGTAAGTAACATCATATGTCTATATTTAAGCTCATCAAGAAATTTATATATCGTTCAAAATCTGAATGCCTGACAACATAAATTTTAAATGTGGAAAGATATCACATTCAAATTTTAATTCCTGGGGAGACAGCTGGGTGAAAAAAGGACAAGTAAATAATTTACCAGTAAGTCCATATTTTCGCAAGAAATTAGCTGAGGTTGCAGCATCCCAATCATACCTGTAGAATCACAAGTTTAGTGTAGGTCACAGGTGCTACAAAAATATTGATGAAAGAAGCAAGATTCCCTACTGGTGTTTTGTAGGTTCTTGTGGTTTAGGTTCAATTAGCAATGTCCCTGAAATGGCACAAGGAGAAATTAGAAAAGGAAAAAAAAACTCTATGAACTGAAAAAGAAAATTTTCATTCAAATTTTGGTGCAGTGGACACACTACAATCAAACACACACACACACACAATATATATATATATATATATATATATATATATATATATATATATATATAAAATTCTAAGCATCTATATTTCATAACTTAGATCTATAAAATGGAAGGGATAGTAGGCATTCTACAGGATGTTACCATTGAATCCAATCTTCTTTTTGTATGCTACAGCCGCTTCAAAAAACCTAGCCTGTAACCAGGTAATAAACAGCATTAATTAAGAAAGACAGTAGAAACAGAAAAACAATTTTTTTTTTTTTGGAGTAGGCGATGGATTGTCATAGGCTCCTGAGTGCGTCAATCTTTTATTGTGAGAACCACTGCACTGAGAAGGATAGAAAATTTCATGCCATTCAAGATATGCATCTAATAAGGTCAATTTTTTCTTTGAGGCTTATTGTGGCCTTGCTTGCATATATTTCTTTCTAATCCACTTTGAGAAATGATTGTTGTTGTAGCATGGACATAAGACAAATGTTTCATTTATGTCAAGTAGATTCCTCATTAATTGTTTAGTAATACTAGAAATAAAAGAGGCAATAAAGTCAAATAATTACTTCAAAACAAGAATGACTCTCGTACCATATGATTAAGCTCTCGCTCCATATCTGTGTTCAAAAGAGATTGATAACCCTCACGACCACCCCAGAAAACATAATTTTCTCCCCCCAAATAATGTGTCACCTGCAATATGTATTTAAATCAGAAAAAGAACAATGGTTCCACAAACACAATGAACCTCACATGCACATACAATCTTACCTCCATGGCTTTCTTCACTTGAGCAGCAGCATATGCATAGACCTCTAATTCAGAGCTGCAAAGCAGTTCATTTAGTCAGGCAATGAACCCAACATGAATAAGGACCATACAGACACTTCAGGAGGTAATTGTGTTACCTAGTAGCAGCACCATGCATGTAACGAGGATGCATGAACAACTGAGCTGTTCCCCATAATACTCTCTTTTTAGCCTATATAACATAACAAAATTATTACATGTAATATGGTTTTTACCTCAAGACACACGCACAAACAAACAATGTTCTGCGAGAATAGTAGAAACAGGATCACAAGAATTTAAATCACAAAAAAATACTTCAAGAACTACACAGACAAAGGGGGTAAGAAAAAGAGACTACATATTTTTTTCCTTCTTGAAAATAATGTATGTGAAAACTAATATACCTTGGTCTGGAGCTCTCGAGCAAGGGCAACCACTTCATCCAAGTTTGCATTAGATTCCTATGATCAAGACAATAAGTGCAATCTAATAGCTCATAAAGCAGATTTATAAAATGTCGCAACAGAGTTTTAATCAAGAAAGTACGTTCAACCAACTATGATCATATCTGAACATTCCAGATATAAAAAATGAGTTAGCATATGCCACTGCATCTCCACTTTGATAATCTCTAAGAATTGCAATTAAGTGAAGAAACTTGAAAATTGACTCACCTCAAGAGTTTTTCCATCAGGGGCAATGTCCCTGTCGTGGAAGCACCAAAAATCGACACCAAGTTTGCTTATGAACTCAAAGTTAGCTCTCACTGTGTTAATTATGAGAATTTTATTTTGTCACATACAAATCAGTGAATATAAAGTATATCAATTGGAGAGTCAATAATTAACATACTTCGTCTTTTAGCCATGTTTAATGAGTTGGTACCATCCTCCCACGGCCAATACTTAGTAGGTGCACCAAATGGATCAGCCCCTGTTCCACGGAATGTATGCCAAAATGCAACACTAAATCTGAACCAATCCTGCAGTTATATAGAATAAATTAAAGCCAAAATCCTACAGGTGTTGGTGGATGATAAATAATAGATAAAACTAACAACTTCTTGAAATATAGATGAAACCCACCTTCATTTTCTTCCCAAGAATTTCCTCCTCTGGATTATACCATTTAAAAGAAAGTGGATTCCTACTGGACGGGCCCTGAAAATTTAATACAAACATCCACAATAAGTATTCACACAATACATAATTCTGGAATACACGTGAACATAGAGGAACACGCAGCTCCCATAAAAAATTCTCAAATAATATTTTGGCATTAAGATATAGCTGAAAAACAAAATATACAACTAATTCAGTTGAGGAAGATCAACCTCCAAAAGGGTACTGCCATAAACAAATTTAGTTACTGAAACGTCATCCTCTCGTTTAAATAGTCCTTAAACTAATGAAATTATATAAGTAGTCCCTAAAGTATTTCTTTGGTCTCTTTACTTTCCCTTCTATTTAGAAAATAATATAGCCATAGTAATTTTGTATGGCATACATCAATAAATTGTGATAAACAAGTGTACCTCGTATTTAATCTGGGGAATGCCCGGGAAAAACTCCCCTTCCCATCCATCTGAATCGCCGCATTTATCCACATTATTAGCAGGGCAAGTCTGAGGAGTAGCAATCTGCTTGCCATCATAAAAGATAAATTGTATTTACATATCATGATCCAGAATCCCAAAGAAATGATAATACACAAACAGAGGAACACATAAATAGTACCACTGCATAACAGAAGACTCCCAGACAAAGAAAAAGCAGTAATGATTTCCCCGATTTCATTTTCAAAATTGACGTCAATACCTGCGCAATAGAGACAGAGAAAATCGATCGGCTGATCAGGAAACGTCACTCAATCATTGTATTAGAATTTCTAAAGTTAATAACATCATAGGTCATAGATAATCAACAAACGGAGATCAGATAGCAACAACTTCAAATGACGCAGAAGCAAAAGCTGCAAGCTTTAATCTAAAGACAAAACACATAGACCTATAACAATTAAAAACAGGTCGTAAAGAGTGAAAGTATGGAAGAATGAATTTACAGATCAAGATTTGTTCTTCACTGATTATCCTCGGGTGAAGTGGAGAAGAGTGTCTTGTTATATATTGAGAATCGCGATTTCCTCAATTTTGGAATTTTAATATTATTTATTTCCAGTTTGGATAACCATGCAGATCTGTTGAGTGACCACGGAAAGTCCATCGGGATAGTTCAGTACGCCTTTTTAGCAACTTCAAATATTTTTTATTTTATTTTAAGTGACATATAATACATCCTTGAACATGTTTAAAACAGTTAAGAAATTTTGTATCTCAAGATTCCAAAATAATTTCTATTAGTTAAAATTAAATTTATTTAAAAATAGAAAATTACTTGTCAAACTTATTGCATAAACTTTCAAAATTATATTGCTAACAATAAAGAGTATGGTTAACAATTCTACATATTCAATTTAAAAATATTTTTATCATAATTTAAAAAGATTATTTGTGAATTCAAAATAATAATTTATATATTTATAATACACAAGTTAAATATAATTTTTTTTAATTATAACTGATAATTTAAGTTGTACTATAATTTTTTGTAATGGTTTTCAATTCTTATTTAAAAAGTATTAAAATTCGGTTTAAAGACGAAAAAAAAATAGATTGAAAATTATAAATAGATAAGAATATTAAGCACAAACATAAAATAAAAAAAATTGAAACTATTGGTAGATTTTTTTTTTGCTAAGGTAAAATGTGAAGTATATATTTAAAATATCATACAATATGTTTTCTATTTTTAAAATTTTATAAATGTTTGCTAATAATTGTAACGACCTTAAAAATCGTTATTATAATGATGTATTCACAAAATAGTAAATAATTAAATAACAATATATATATTATATTATATTATTAGTAATTGTAATATAGACTGAAATCTCGGTTCATCGACAGAACATCAAAATATAATATCACAACTTATTTATATAAATATATACAAAAGTAGCTCACACAAGATCATCTTACTAAATTATTCCTATTGTCCAGTAGTCATATCTCCACCTCTCAACTCCTTATTTTCTCCTACTCCACATGAAAAAATAGGGATAAGTATTAAATAATTCGATATAATAAAGCGAGATATATAATTAATAATTACATATTATCATCAATTACAAATCATTTGTTGAATATAGAGAAAATAGGGTTTGGAATTAATTTCCCTTGTGTATAAATCACACATAGGGTGGTCTATTTATAGTAGAGAGATACAACTAAAAGAGTAACTGAAAGTAACAGAATAAACAAAAGATATTGTTTGATATTGTGGTTACCAATATCTAACAATATCTTAACAATATCAAATAATATCTAAACAATATCTAACACTCCCTCAAGCTTGGAACATACAAATCGTATGTGCCAAGCTTGTTACAAATATAATCAATTCTAGGACCTCGTAAAGATTTAGTAAAAATATCTCGCTAACTGATCACTTGAGTTAACAAACTCGGTCTTGATATCTCCAGACATAATCTTTTCTCAATAAAATGACAGTCAATCTCAATGTGTTTGGTCCTCTCATGAAAGACAGGATTAGAACTAATATGAAGAAGCAGCTTGATTGTCACACACAAGTGTCATTTGAGTGACATCTCCAAATTGTAACTCTCAAGCAATTGCTTGAGCCAAACAAGTTTACAGGAAGCTGAGGCCATAGCTCTATATTCTGCTTCGCACTAGATCTTGCCACAACACTTTGTTTCTTACTTTTCCATGAGATCAAGTTACCACCAATGGAGACACAATATCTAGATGTAGATCTTCTATCCGAAAGAGATCCCGCCCAATCAAGCATCTCGAGTAGCAAACAACTATTGTATGGTTATTAGAACCATATAACAATCCTTTTCCAGGAGATCCTTTAATATACTTCAAGATACGAATGATCGCATTCCAATGATCTTCACATGGTGAATTAAGAAATTGACTTACCACACTCGATCGCAAAGGAAATGTCGGGACGAGTAACTGTAAGATAATTCAATTTTCCAACCAATCTTCTATATTGCTCGAGATCGATATAGGCTCCCCCGATTTGGTAGAAGTTTAGTATTGGGATCCATGGGTGTATCAACGGACTTTGAACTCATCAACCCAGTTTCCTCCAAAATATCTATGACATACTTCCTCCGAGATATAACAATACCATCATTGGACTGTGCTACCTCAATACCCAAGAAATATCTAAGTTTGCCAAGATCTTTGGTCTAAAAATGGTGACAGAGATGTTGTTTCAACTGAGAGATGTCATGGTTGTCACTACCTGTAAGAACAATGTCATCAACATATACTATCAAGTAAACACATCCAGCACTCGAGTGTCGATAAAAGACAGAATGATCTGATTCACACCGAGTCATACCAAATTGTTGAACAACCTTGCTAAACTTTCCAAACCAAGCCCTAGGAGACTGTTTTAGGCCATATAGGGATTTGCGAAGACGACATACCATCCCAGAAGACTCCCCCTGAGCAACAAACCCAGGAGGTTGCTCCATATATATTTCTTCTTGCAAATCACCATTGAGGAAAGCATTTTTAACATCCAGTTGATAAAGAGACCATTGTTGAAGAGCAGCCATGACGATAAATAAACGAACAGAAGCCATATTTGCCACAGGGGAAAAGGTATCTCCATAATCCAACCCAAAAATTTGAGTATAACCTTTGGCCACAAGACGAACTTTGAGGCGATCAATAGTACCATCAGGTCCAACTTTAATAGCAAACACCCACCTGCAACCAACAACAGATTTTCCAGACGGTAACGGGACCAATTCCCAAGTTCCACTATTATGAAGAGCACTTAGTTCATCTAACATGGCCTGACGCCAACCAGGATGGGCTAAAGCTTCACGGACAGTTTTTGGAATGGTCACAGAAGAAATAGAGGAAAGACATGTATAAAAAGGTAATGACAGTCAATGATAACTCAAAGCAATATAATGGGGAGAGGGATTTCGTGTAGAACGAATACCTTTTCGGAGGGCAATGGGAAGGTCAGACTCATGTGTCAAATCCGGAGGAGACAGAGTAGTTGGCACTTGAGTAGAGTCACATGGTGGTGGTTGTGATTGGTTTCGAGAACTATAAATCTGAAGAGGCAGTGGAGAAGAAGCTGATTGCGGAGCAGGAACTAATGGTGAAGAAGACACAGTTAGAGGGTCACAAACAACAGGAACATTAAATGTATTAGGAGTGTTGACAAGATTAGATGGAGACAGAGGTGAAGTTTGACTTTTAAAATAAAGAGACAACTCATCAAATGTGACATCTTTTGACACAAAATAATGGTTAAGAGAAGGAGAAAAACATTTGTATCCTTTTTGTGATCTTGTAAACCCTAAGAAAACACATTTATGTGATCTAGGAGAAATCTTGTCCAGACCAGAACTGAAATTATGAACAAAACATGTAGACCCGAAAACGATGAAGTGGTTCATGAGGGAATAAAATGGAATGAGGTATTTTATTATCTAAAACCGAAGAAGGCATGCGATTAATGAGATAACATGCAGTAAGAAGAGCATCACCCCAAAAATGTTGAGGAACATCTCCATGAATTAAAAGTGTGTGAGTTGTTTCAATAAGATGTCTATTTTTACGTTCAGCTACACCATTTTGTTGAGGTGTATAAGCACAAGAAGTTTGATGCAAAATACCATGAGAAGCCATGAATTGTTTAAAAGAATGAGAAAGATATTCACGGTCATTATCACTATGCAAAACTCTAATAGAAACACCGAACTAAGTTTGAATTTCATTAAAAAAAGTTTGAAAGATATGAAATAATTCAGAACGATTTTTCATCAAAAATAACCAAGTGCATCTGGAATAATCATCAATGAAAGTAACAAAGTATTGAAAACCTAAAGTAGACTTAACACGGCTAGGTCCCCAAATGTCAGAGTGAATCACGGCAAAAGGGGACGAAACACCACGTGTGAAACTACGAGGAAACGAATATGCTTGCCTAATTGACATGACTCACACGCCAAACTAGATAAGTGGGACAAGGCAGGGACAAGTTTCTGTAACTTGGCAAGACTTGGATGACCTAACTGAGCATGAAGAAGAGAGGGAGACTCCATAACTGTACTAACATGTGTAGAGGGACTGGAGATAATAAAGACCATGAGACTCACATCCCGTGCCAATCACCTGTTTCGAACTCCGATCCCGTAAACACACGTAATTGTTGGTAAAAGTAACAACACAATCAAGAGAACGAGTTAGACGACCGATGGACAACAAGGTTAAAAGGAGACCCAGGGACATAAAGAACATTATCAATGGTTAAAGAAGGAAAAAGTTTAACCGTTCCAACACCATGAGATGATACTCTAGAGCCATCAGCCAAAGTGTAACGAAGGTAAATGATTAGGAGAGGATAAAGAGGAGAACAAAGATTTGTTACCAGTAATATGATCAAGTGGCTCCTGAATAAAAAACCCAAGGACCAGGAGAAAATGATTGGGTCGGACCAATGAAAATATGTATTTGTATGTGTGACGAGATATAGTGGAACTAGAAGACTGTTGATCCTTATACCATTCGAGAAATTT